AGAGGAGACCTTGGGTGTTTTATACAATATATCATCAGAGCTTTTATTCTGCCATTAGAATAAGTATCTGTTTTACTGTTAAAACCACCAAGAAAATACATTAGGTTTAACACTTTTGGTTATACTTTCACTATGAGGTAAACGTTTCCTGTGCTGTGGTAAATTTGTAAAAATGCAATGTATTTATTTCATAATCTATTTAATATGCATGACTAAATTTGTGAAAACTATGCATTAGCATTCTTAATACAGAACTAAATATTGTATGTAAATATTACAATTGTCTCCATATAAAGTATATTCCCACTGCTATTATCTTATCATCCTTCCTACCATTACCACTTACTTATTATAGCATATTGTAATGTTTATTTTCGAAGGATGCCTATGCAACCAATATAAACCCCACAGGTGAGGTAAAACATAAAAAATAAAGGAATCCCTACAGATTTTTCTCTGCTAGTCATTGCCGACCATAGGGGGTGGTGCTCATCTCCATTTCGAGGTCATTGAGCCAGCACTATCCGAAGACATTTCTGCAGTCATGTGCTCAGCATCACATCACAGAGTGCTCTTACCTTCCCACCAAAGTGATACCTATTTATCTACTGTACTTGCATTTGTATGCTTTTGAGCTGCTAGTTTGGCAGGAACTAGGGCAGGAACAGGATTTCGCCCTGTCACATGGAGCTTGGGTCTCGAACCCGGGCTGCTGGCCTTCCAGCCAAGAAGCCCAGCATTTTAATCACTGAGCCACCACACTGACCAATATAGGCCCCCTAGGCATTCCTTTCAACAAAGAGAATTCTTGCAAAAGGTTATTAATGGTCAGGTTATTAAAGGCCAACTTCCTTTTTTTGTTGTTGTTAAAGTATCATATAGTAAAGTAGAACATTGGGAGTGCTGAACTCCAAGGGAAGGTATGTTGTGTAAAGTGCTACTATTCCTGAGCATTTAGCAGCTGCCCTTTGCTTTGCCCTAGTATGCATACACTGCATATACACTATATTGCCAAAAGTATTCGCTCACCTGCCTTTACTCGCCTATGAACTTACTGTAAGTGGCATTCCATTCCTAATCCATAGGGTTCAATATGACGTTGG